ATCTTTACCGAGGTGGAGGTAATCCCGGTTCTAAGCGTGAAGTCCAAGACCAGAAAGATAACGAAAAACGCGAACCATCAAGAGGTTCAAGTGATGGTAGCAACCTTTACCGAGGTGGAGGTAACCCCGGCTCTAAGCGTGAAGTCCAAGAACAGAAAGATAACGAAAAACGCGAACCATCAAGAGGTTCAAGTAGCAGTAGCAACTTATACCGAGGTGGAGGAAACCACGGCTCTAAGCGTGAAGCCCAAGACCAGAATGATAACGAAAAGCGCGAACCATCAAGATATGGTTCTTCAGGTACCACTGGAAACTACCGACCCGGTAAGCGTGAAGTCCAAGGCCAAGTTCCTAAACACGAACCAAAAAGAACTGCATTTCCTATATATCCCTAAAATGGAAAAGGAGCCAGCTCAAGCTTTAAATGAAAACTATAAATCATTTGTATCGAGCTAGTTCTAAACGTAATGTTAGAAGACTAAATTTCTAAAATTAGATTGAATATGTGATAAATGTAACAAATTTCTTTGCGATGTAACAAATTTTCTTTGCAATGTAACAAAATTTCTTTATTTATAACAATTTTCTTTATGTATAACAAATTTCTTTGTGATATAACAAATTTATCTTTGTGATATATCAAATTTTTTCCTTGCGATAACTATTTCTTTCGGTTTTAATTTTTATATTAATATCTATACATGAAATAAAATAATGGAATGTTTTGGAGACAAAAGTGACAAATTTATTCAGTTCTTAAAAATTATAATATTAAATAATTGTAACTAATGCACAAACAAGTACCACTAAAGGAAACAAATAGTGGCTCTGAATGAATATATAGTAAAGTAGTACAGTACAGCGACACATATTCAGACGACTTTTGAAAAAGATCTATCCTTTCATACTCAGATCAGAGCATTCAGCTGTTTTTAGCATTTGAAATAGCACATGATATTACGGCAATCACGACAACCACATAACCAAATTTACCGGAACTGGTTTATTTTACTTTTACTTATCTATAGAATAAAAATAAAAAAATTTTCTCGTTAATACGCGAAAGGTGATTTCTTAGATGAATTTTCACGATCTTGTTCCCATGACTGGTGCTGATTGGTCAGAATAAAAATGCCTGATACTGTATATATTAACAGGTAATGTTATCCATGTGTTGTGTAACAGTACATGGAGAGTAGCATTAGGAAACTGAAGAATCAATTAACATACTGTAATAGTGGTGAAAAGTTCTAAAATTGCATTTTGCGTTTTAATTGTTATCTGATGTTTAAATTTTTAAATTTTATGCGCGAGTTCACACGCCGATAACAGCCTGGCATCAGAAAAATTAAGTGTAAATATGCAAAAATCTGTATTTTTGCAGCAGCAAAATTTTTTAGAATTTGAAGTTTTGTATAGAATTATATTTAATTTCTGCATTTATATTATCAGATTTGAAGTTTTGCGCAGATATTCATTATTTAATTTTTTTGCAAATTTGCGCAGAACTGCACTAAAAAAAAATTTCAGATGAGCGTCTCCCTGAAAAAACGGTAGTCGGATTATTTTTCCACTTCGAATACCAATTGCCAATAACTAAATATTAATATGGATAAAACAGTGGTATTATCGTATTTTGCGAGCTAAACCTTCTTCCTCTTTAGAATATTCACCAACTTTTGCCTAGAGAATGTTAATCTTGGGAGTCATTTATTGTTACGGTATTCGTTCACCATTATATATTAAACCACCAAAGTATAAAACTGTGAAAATTCTACATGGGAGAGTGTTTGACCCGCAAAAATACGGTATGTATTATTTTGTAAATTTAGTTAAGGATCTTCGGATCTTCTTTAGTATATAGAAATATTATAAGATTATAATATAAAAAAACTCTAACCCTAACTCTAATATAACTCTAATTTAAACTATAACCCCTACCCTAACTCTAACTATATATTTATAAATTTGCTTAAATTAGTTTAAATCATTATTTTTATATATTAAAATCTTATAATATTTCTATATTGCTCAGCTATACTAAAAGATCAACCTTAGTGGATAATAAACACCAATGAATAATAATTTAAACACATAATCGTAGTTATTTAAATATAAAAGATCGATGTATCACAAGCTAAATCAAAGAGAATGAATAGGCAGAATGTGAAAGATTCAAAAGTTTAAGTAACTTATTTTAAATGATCGATCTTTATACTCAAATAAAATTGACACAAATAAGATGAGTAGCATTATGTAGTTAGTCATTTTAAATGGTTGACAAAAAATATTTATATTCACAACATGAATATTAAAAAGATTCTTTATATTTAACAAAGTAAATTAACGTGAATAAACAAATTAGTAATATTCAGAAAATTTTCAAATTGAAAGCAAAAGAAAGTCCCACCATTAATAATTAAGCATGATAAACATATTAACCAGCAATCAGTTTTTAAAGTAATATCGATATGTAAACTAACATAATCCCAATCACTATATCGAGATCACGGGGATTGATTAATAATACTTAATCCATGTGAATACGTAAGGATATTATTACGGGCGACTTCATGATTATCACGTGCAGATCTTTTTTGTTCATTTATGAATAACTTGAAACCTTTTCAAACGAATTAATATACAAATTCATTAACGTTAGTTATATAATTAATATAATTAATAATTTATTATAATTAAATGGTTAGATGAGTGCTGATTTTGAGTTTTAAACACGAATTGTCTTTTGTTCATACTACATAATATCGTCTGATTTTCTGCTATATAATTTATACATACAGAAAGACTAGTGATACAGGCCGATGAAAAAATCTCGGGTCAGAGCCGACCTTTTTATGAATGATTTTGAATAATTCTGTTAGATACTCTACCTTTCTCACTCTTTAAACATCGATTGAAAGTTATTCAGATTCGATTCGATTTTTTTTTCTGACCTTAATAAGAGATTCGTATTCAATGTTGTCTTTTCGCATTCTGAAGTACCCGACCGATATTTTCCGGACCGGCCCGTATCACTAAGAAACACTCGTAAGTGACGAGCGCTTTAATCATATACTATATATATATTATATATATATTAAGTAATTTCTAGTAACGATCATTTCTATAATATATAACTATATATATATGCTACGTATACATTATTAATTTGGATATACAAGCAAAAACATAAAAAGAAACTAATATTATATAATTGGCACTAATATTTTAATAAACAAAAGGTTAAAATATGATAGAAGTGAAACAATTAAAATATACAAAATATTAGCTAAATCTAAGATTGGCTGAAACTGAAATTGTGCTGTGGTAACGTTGTCAAGACTTTGGGCTTTCAATTTTATTCATATAATTGTTTTTATAACTCTTGCTATCTTGTCTATGAAGTATCATTTCCCGATGTTTACTATAGCATATCATTTCTTAAAAAATATATTACACCAGCTAAGTACACGACACAATGGGGTATTTCATATACGTACTAATTAATTAAATCTATGTAAGGTGTCATGATAATACAGATTTTATGCATAGATCGGCAAAATCGATAGATTACTACGTATCAAAATACTAGTATTTTAAAAATGATTCACCTCGCGTACTGATAATTTTTTTTCGAAAATTTTTACGGCAAATGATTATTGCAATGTTGTACAAAAAGTTACAAGCTTAAATTTTTATTAACAGAAGTTAATTCATGATAAATTTTGATTTTTGGTTGAAAGTTTATATGAACTATTTAAAAATCTTTAATTAATTAAAAATTTAAGCCTGTAACTTTTTCATATGGGCCAATTTTTTTGATTTCTGTAGATCCTTGTCTATCAAAACACTCAAAATTGCCTTATTTGGGTTTAAT